CCTTTATTAGATCGTCTCAACCATCATATAATAAGTCTTCTTTGTACGTCTTCAAGTCTTTTTACTCCTGGACCACTCTATCTCTTAACTGCAGCGACTCCATTTACCCGACTAACCTTCTTCTGGTTGTTACCTTGCCAAAGAATATTCTTTTTTCAGCTTGTTCAATCTGTCAATGACCAAACTGGGGTAGGGAAACAAGAGAATAGTGTTAGTAGGGTATTAAGTACACAATTGATGTCAATGAATCTACTGCCCTAGGAAAGATATTGACATTTCGGATTTGAAAGTCTTTTTTCCACCTTCTAGAATGCAGCCCCAAATAGAAATAGACCTGAATTTTGTCCCAAGGGTAATCCCAGATTCGCAATTAAGATGTAGAACAGTCATGGAATGTTGGGAACAGTGTCTACAGGAAACAGGAAGGTTTTTGAGAAATTAATATGACGACCAGTAATCATTCTGAAAAAAACAAACTTGTTGCTCTGCAGCTTCAAAAGAAATCAAAGTATCATATGAATATAAAATGTGAGAGACGTTCAGACCTCCTTCCTTTGTGGTCTGCTGCATAACCTTTCATCCAATTGAGATGAATAACTTTTGAGAACAATTTATTATATATATATATATATATATATTGTGTAAGGGGGAAGCTCCAAAGTACAAAGTTGAATTACCATTTACCCCTACACTAAATTATAATATATAAAAAAACTTATTGTCCCTTCGGGGTGGCCCAATGGTTTGAGCTTGGGACTTCCATGTTGGAGGTTTCAAGTTCGAAACCCCTTGCCAGCGAAAGCAAGGGGTTTGCCTTTTGGGTCGAGCTCGTCGCACCAGGCTTGCCTAGTGCGGGTTACCTCGCCTAAGTGGCCTGCGAGTTGTTGCATAGGAGCAGGGTTTTACCCCATGCGCACTCAAAAAGGGTAGTGACTGCAGGTTTCCCTTGTCGTAAAAAAAAATAAAATTAATTATATTAAGTAGAAAAATTTCTATGATATTTTTATTTTAAAAAAGTTAAAACATCTCATAATAAATTGGGTCTTTTCTACTAATAACATCTCATAAAAAATGGAGCATTTTCTACTCTCCAACATCTCATAATTAATTGAGTATTTTCTACTTTTCCTTACATCTAATCATTAATAAGTCTTCTATTATTTCATTTGGTTAAAATGTTCACACTTTATTGAGTTTTCTTCTCCATCAGGTACTTATCATCCCCCCTCCCTTTTTTTCTTTTGACTTTTTTAATACTTCCTTTGTCCCAATTTATGCAACACTTGTTCTTTTTCGAGAGTGAAACAGTTAAGTTGAATTACTACATATGTGACTAAAGTAACATCATATTTGCAATAGTTTCTAACCTCGTCTTATGAGTCGTTACCTTTTTTGTGTGTTCTGATTTTTATTTTATAGCATAGAGAAAGTCCAATAGTATATGTATCATTTAAAATTTATCATTTGCAATACAAAATCTGTATTAAATATTTTAAGATAAATGTTCAATGCATTTTCATTTAAAATTTATCATTTGCAATACAAAATTTGTATGAAATATTTTAAGATGAACGTTCAATGCGTGTTCCCAGAGACTAGTTCCTCTATAAGCTGGAAGGAGTCATGAGCAGCCACATTGATAAGAACAGAGGATCTTGTTGATCTCATCTCGTAGCATTCTCGAATGTTGCTTTATACAGATGGAAGTAGTCAGGATGGGACATGATAACTTCAACTGTAATTTTCTTTGTTGATTTGTCATGCCTTTAATTCTTCCAAAGGCATTGTTCTATGATTTTGTGATTGATGCTATATATTTTTGAGTCTTCTGGCCCTCTTAATGTGATGAAATTTTTACAGCATATCATACGGTAGAAATCTTCTACTGATTCATCGTATTTTTATTGGAGGCCATTTACCCCAAAGATAGATTGTGTTCTTTTATATACCCTATTATATGTTTTTGTTTTGCACCCTGATGGTACTGTTTGTTAAGAGATTTTTTTGGGTACGATGTTGATGTGTAAATTGCTATGGAAGCCATAACCATTATTCTCTTGTGACATATCTTTAAATGTCGAGTATAACAGAACATTTTATTTTCACTCTCCTCCTTAGATTCTATATACTATGAAACTATAATTGGCCCTTTATGGATGGAAATCATATGTTCGTTTGGAAAATGACTATTATCATTTGCCTTTGCAGATCCCTTGGCTGAGAGGAATTCGACCGAGGTAATAACAGCGCGTTTTTCTTATTTCTGAAGACAATTTCATGGCATATCTTTGAGTTTTTGACATTCCTGCTTCTTTTGTTTCTGATAATTAGGTTAAAGACTTCGCTGGTTCAACAGCACTTTCATTCCGCTCTCCTATAAAGCTATCTCCATCCGCTCCCTCAGTTTCATCTTTATCTGCATCTCCTTTATCATCACGTGGCCAGCTGCCTCCTGCTAGCTTTACTCCATGTTTGCCTCACCATTCTTCAGCGCACCAACTTGGACAGCAAGTTTCTGATGGCCGTGTACCAGGGCTGAAGTCACCTACATTTTCAATTTCCGAAGAATCATCTTCCTTTGTGCTCCTCCCTGGTTGGAGTAATGATTCAACTAGGGGCTCTCATGGTGGATCATCAGATGGTTGGTCAGCTCCTGGCTTTGCTGACCTGGCAAATCCTCGTCGAGATAGGTGGTCATTTGATAGTGAATCCTTTGGTTTCCATCGTGAAAGGGCCACTAGCCGAGGTTCTGGGTCATCTTCATTCGATCTCCAAACGTGTGGCATATGTGCAAAGCTATTGAATGAACTTGCTGTTGCTGTTCTAGTTTGCGGCCATGTTTTCCATGCTGAGTGCTTGGAGAATATGACATCTGAAATCAATAGGTATGACCCAGCTTGCCCTGTGTGTACTTTTGGGGAGAAGCAGGCCTTGAAGATATATGAAAAGGCAAAAGCTAAGATAGAATTGAAAGCTAGAAAGAGACTTCGAAACAGGATTGTTGACAGTGATATTAGTGGGAATGTTGATCTGTTAGAGCGTCAGAAAAGTAGTGCTCATGAAGGAGGGTGTCCCAGGATGAGCTCCAGTTCCAGTATGAAGAGCCCTTCAAAGAGGCCCTTCCTACGACATTATTTCTCCTTCGGTTCAAAGGGATCAAGATCCTACTCCGAGGGTCCTTCAACTCGGAGGAGAGGGTTCTCCTGGACAAGATCTAACAAGAAGTAGGTTTCTATATGGACATAAAAGGTAAGGAAATCCCTTTAGACATTTTAGCCAGTACTATTGTAAAGCTCCCTTCATGTTTACATCGTTGGTTTGCTATGGATTTCTGATAGATGTTAATCCAAATCCCATACTCTTGTCTGACAAATGGTTTACATTGCATTCACTTGTGCAGATAACCATGGGTATGCTCTCTGAGCTGCCTTATTGGGTTGTAGAGTGGTGAAAGCAGTCAATGATCTTGATGGTGAAAATGCAATGCATTTGCAGGCAAGTAATACATTGTAAAAAATGGGAAGAATACAAGGTGGATGATTAATTTGTTTAAATAGGAAAGAAGATGCAAATTGAATTGAAAATAGTTGTTGTTTCAGTGTATGTTCTATTGGGTTACATACATGTCAAGCCCATGAAAAAATTGTCCTGAAGATTTTATATATATGGTTAAAAGTGCTCATCTCTATTACCTACCTATATAGTAGCATATATTTGGTGTTCTACTCATGCTTAAGAGTAGCATCAGCCATTGTATGACTTTGTATTCTTTTTGTATTTATTTGAGTCAGTTAGAGCTCCGTACCAGCAACCGTGACCCCTTAATTATTGCTCTAACTTATATATACATGGTACTAATTTTATACATTTAACATCTTATTTGTTAACTAGCTATTACACTTGGTAGAATTTGTAAAAAATAAAATAAAATACATGAACAAGTTTGTTATTTTACTAGCTACCAAATGACCAAACTGTATCTAGCAGGTCAGAGAGATGAAAGCAAGCTCTGATATCACCGATTAAGGTCCTTTGATATCTGAGTTTAAATTTACAAAGGGAAACGAGTTTGCCTAAAGAACAAATGAAAGCACTGGTGTTGAAAAAAGAAAGTTTGTTGATGTTTTTAGAATCCAATTTTTTTTATTATTAGTATAAATGCAGAAATAACTAGTGAGAAAGTCCGCTAGTTTATAACAGATTTTTATTGTATCTTCTAATTAGGGGTGCACTATTTGGATTAAATTGAAAAATCAAATTAAATTTTAATTTGGATTAATTTTTTGGATTCTTGGTTTGATTTTAGATTTATAATTTACTTTGTTTGATTTTTTAGTTTGGTTTCGGATTTAGAAAAATAAAAATCAAAAACAACAAAAATCAAATATATATATATATATATATATATATATATATATATATATATATAGTTTATTTTCTTTCTTTTTGGACATCTATAATTGACATACTTTTACTTATTGTGTTTTACGTTTTATTTGTGATTTATATAAAAAAGTATATTAAGAAATTCAATTTATATATATTTTTTTAAATTTGCAAATGTAACTTTGTTATGTTTCTTATTATTGACATAACTGATTAAACAAATCGAAAAAACCCAAACTAAAAAGAGAAAAACCAACCAAATTAAATTTATTTTTGTTCGGATTGAGTTATACTTCTTCAAAATCAAAATCAAAAATTTATACCGAATAGTATAAAATCAAACAAAAAAATCGAATGTACACCTGTACTTGTAATATGTAAGTGGTCACTTCAATTTGAGCTAAAATGGAAATCACTCTAGTTAGAGTCGTAACAAATGATTTTATTTTTTTAATGTTAATACATGACTTCTTTGCTATTGAATTGATATGCTTTATTTAAATCAAAAGTTTCAAACTCAACTTATAAAATTACATGTAGTAAATTTTCTCCTCGCACATTTGCTATGTGAAAATGAAGCTGAACTATATCAAATATCTAACATGATTTCAGAATTCAATCGCACAAACTGCATCATATCATATATTCCGTCCAATACCATATCCATCGCAAACTATAAGTGGAAAACAAATGTGCCTAATGCTAATGCTTTTTACATAATTCCTGAATATGGGCAATACAAGTATATGTAACTACAATTGCAAAGACTAAGATATTGGAACACTCCAATAGTCCTATGGGGTTGGTCGTATCACACAAATGACAAAAATCCCTCACTCCTTGCCAATATCGGCAGCATAGTGCACACTTGATTCAAGTTTCTTCGCTTCATTCAGTTTCCTTACAGCCTGTAATTAACTTTGAATTACCCTCCAACTAGTCAACACAGCTTGTAAAAGAAGAACCAGACGTGCGTACCTTCATGAAATCCACATGGATGACATAATCACGCTCTGCACGTACTGCTGATATACCAGCTTCAGTGCACACATTTCGAAGATCAGCTCCATTAAAACCCTGAGGACAAACAGATTGTCAAAGCTCCCCCTTAGGCAAATTATTTTTCAATAGCATTGCTAGCACACCTCAGCAAGCTTAACAACAGCTTCATAATCAATGTCACCATGTTTGGCAATTCCAGCAGCATGAATCTTGAGGATCTCAATTCTTGATAGTTCATTAGGCAACGGTATTTCTATTTTTCTATCTAAACGACCAGGGCGAAGAAGAGCTGGGTCCAAAACATCTGGCCTGTTTGTTGCCATAATCACTTTTACCTGCAAGCAGAACAAAGATTAACTACTTAGCATCAACGTGTTTTTTACTATAAAAAATAAAAGCAGAAAGCCAGAAGACCACACTAATCAAAGCTAAACTCAAGCAAATAACCTATATTCTCTCCTGATTTAAGCAATCTTCTCTTTCTTTTTAGTATGTATCATCTTTATGATAGACAATCAAGTTTTGAGGAATTATCCTTCTTGTACAATCCAAGAAACAAGAACTGCAAGTAAGGGACGAGTGTGCACCACCATAGATCATAAATCTATAGAAATTCCCATTATATATATCATCTTCTTAGAGATATATAATTAAGATCAACTTAAGACCTTTCCAATATGGTCAAATCCATCCAACTGATTAAGCAACTCCATGAGCGTTCTCTGAATTTCACGATCTGCACTTGTTCCCTCGCTAAATCGACGTCCACCAATTGCATCAATCTCATCCATGAAAATGATGCAAGGCTTTACACAAAGACAAAAACTATCAGTACATTTTGAGGCAGTACCAGCAGTGGTTCACTGGATTTAGTATACCCAGGATGTTATTGAAGTCCTTACTTGGTGATCACGAGCATAGTTAAACATTTCCCGTATCAATCTCGCACTCTCACCTATGTATTTATCAATAATGGCACTTGATACTATCTGCATTTTTCACAAACTATAAATAAACACTGATATGATGAAATACTTCGAAAAGGGAGGAAATAACCAAAACCTCTACTATAATACCTTTAAGAAATTGGCATCAACGTTGCGGGCAATTGCCCTGGCTAACAAGGTCTTGCCAGTCCCAGGAGGCCCATAGAGAAGAACACCCTGAGACGAACAAACTTGGTAGCATCAGAAGAAACTTAAAGTATCAGCAACTTCAACTATGCAAGCACCATGAAAAATGCAGACACACAAGAATATGGTCAAATTATATTAAACAAGTCACCTTTGGAGGCTTAATTCCAACACGGAGGAAAAGTTCAGGGTTCATCAGAGGTAGTTCTATTGATTCTCTCAGCTCTCTGATCTGATCTGACAGTCCACCCACAGCAGAGTAGCTTATATTGCCAGGATCTTCATGAAGCATATTATGCACCATAGGATGAACCTGTCATAAGAAACTCAAGATAAGGAACTCAGGGTGGGATAAATATGATAATTATCTACAAGTTCCCAACACTAGCCCAGAAATAACAACTAACTTCATGTGGGAGAGCCCTCATGATTGTAAGAGTCGACATATCGAGAACCACTCTAGTGCCAGAAGTTAGATTTTCCTTATCCATTTTACTGCAACAGCCAACCACATACCTTGAACCGCAACCGACTTTAACTATCACTGAAAATAAATGTTTTAAATTAATCCAAAAAATTACTTCAACTTGTTAATAGCAACTTAAAACCGGATCAACAGAACAATCCTAATAGAACGCAATATGAAGATGAATAAGTAGTAAATATGGTAATGCATGGTTCATAGCTTAATGAAAAGAAAAGAATATGGATAAACAGTATGTACAGACAATGTACACATGATTAAAACCTATAAACAGCACCATTTGTCACTAGCTCACTTCCATCTTTGCAGCACAAAACCACAATGTTACTTCTAGAAGTAGACTTCTTCTCTAGGTAAAAGAATAAAGGTTCGTATTCAGGGTCTCACTTCATCATTATATATGTTTATAATTTTTTATTTTGGGAGGTGGGGAATTTTACTCCTTAAAATCCATAGATCTCAAAAAAATGACAACAAACAACGGAAATACTAGAAAAGAATGTATTACTGCGTTTGTCATCTAGAGGCCGGAGCACTTCGCCTATGATCTGCCCAACGCTCTGAAGCAACTTCAAATCATCTTCTGTTTTACCATATTCCTTTTTGGCTGCACGCAAATTTTCTTTCACTATGTACAATTTTACAACCAGCATCAGTTATACAACAATTTGAACACAGGAAGACAATAGATATACAGTGAAGGTTACTAGCACTTGGACAGAAAATTGTTTGGCATCCTATATAAAAAGAAACAAAATAAATAAATAAAATCAGTGACCATAAAGGAAATATTAACGGTGACAGCATAATTAGCTGTCTCAAAGCAGACTCATTCCTTTGAGTTTTCATTTCCCAATTCGTGAAGTAAGATGTGCACTGTTTGTCAATGCTAAACAGCTAAGGATTTAGATTATAGATGATATACCGATTGAAGCGCATACAATAACTCTCATTTTGACTGATATGGAAGTAGTACAAAATAGAGTTACAGACAAAACCATAATCACTGGCTTATCAGAAATTTACCGCAGAAAATTATAAAGAATACTTAATAGGTCAATCGAGAATCATTACAAAGAAAGCGAATTATTTGAATAAATAAATCTAAGCAAAGGTTATGATCCCCCTTAAAATCTTGAATAGATCTTTACACTAAAATGGTGATGTCTGATGACATCTTATGATGAAGTCATCACAACTCTACCTCAATAGTGCAGGACCCTTTGAGAATAAGGAGTAAAGAAAAGCGAAGATGAAAAGCCTAAACGAGATAAAAAAACTTAAGAAGAACCATAAAAAGTAACCCCAAACAGAGATATTGGAGTAAACTGCCCAAAAGCAATTTACTCGGAGGAACGTGTATACCCTGTATGTTTGAAATACTGATAACAATACTCCCAATACCGATGAATTCAATAATAATTAGAACACACATAATAAAGTTAAGGTTCTCTAATCACCTATGCCCATCCAAAATCCTTGTTCCAAAAGGCCTCCTAAGTCCTAAACAAAGTTAAAAACCTTATAGAATTTAGCCAAATTGTCATAGATATTTGGACAAGGCTTAAAGCTCACAGATACTTCAGGAAAAGAGTTTCTATTTTTTTCCCTTTTTTCAAGAAAAATTGTGACACAGTATAGCTTTCCAAGACTTAAAATCATTCATGTTTTTTTAATCAAGGACTTAATAATCAAACATATTTGATGTTCTAAAGTATTAATAATCAAATACATAATTAAAAACAGAAGAAAATACTCATAATTGATACAGCATTTTGTGTTTACTGTGTCTCTTGATCTTTCAATACTTCTCTATGTTTATAGTTGCTTTCGCAATTAAAACTAGTTCCTCAGGAAAATATTATCTCTTAACTTGCCATTTCCTAGTAGAAATACGGTGCCTCAAATTTTGTTACTAGTGAAACATCGGCTTTGATCTTTCTTGGCATGGTTACAAACGTACATGTTTCTCCTAAACCATAAAACTGATTTTCTCATTCAAACAAAACGCTTTTGATTCTTTGTTTAGTTTCTCCTTTCTTCAAATAGGTAAAGAAAGCAATGCTATTTCGATTTGCAAATCTTACTGCCTATGGGAGGCGTCATTTGCAGTAGCCCTTTCAAAATGATAGGTTTCAATTATGTTGTAGTATATCTAAATTAACTATGATTACCATTTGCAACCTGTACTCGAACTAGTTAAGAAGCACTAGCACTGATACCCTATGGTGTAGAGCTGCATTCCAAAAAATGAGCATAAATCAAACAACAGTGGAAAACCCAAAAAAAATACAGTGGATAACCTTGTCAACTCTTTCCACATGCAAAGGTTACATACACTTATGATGTTGCTTCATAGGTCTAGAGATAAATTTGAGGTCCAACTGTGAGAAGTTTTTGGTAAGGAAAACTGTGTAGCAATGTTTCTGATTTCTAAGATTCTTTCATAAAGATAAATACAGCTACGAATTACAGGAAGGAATAACTTAAGATCTGTAGTTTTGAGAAGTTGTGATGTCCTTTTATAGACCGAGTCATGAACTCGGTACAAAGCAAAATGTTTCTGATAAGGCAGGAAAACATGTAGTCGTTCTTCTTAATTATAAGATGCTTTAATAAACATAAAATACGCTACGTGTTGAATGTCATCGGTTAAAAATTAAACTTTAAATTGATTTGCAAGTTGTAGGACAAAGTTAAAGCTTTCCATCATTAGCTCAATATTACAACAGAAAGTTATAGAAATTGAAAATCCTTCTAATTGAACATGAATTCACTACTGAGCTCGGAAAGTTATTGTTATAAGCTAGTAGATGCTTGTTGACCAGACAACCACATAAATGACACTTCAATTTATTTTGTTTTGGTGACCGTGGGGTCCAGGCTAGCTTTCGCACACCTCGGCTGATTACACGGGATACCTTTCACCTCCTAACAGCAACACGTCTCAGAACAGATAGGAAGAAATCACCTAATGTTTTTGTCCCTGTTGGGAATTGAACCTTAGACCTCATGGTGCTCAATCCACATCATTGACCACTAGGCTACACCTTTGGGAGCATAAATGACACTTCAAATTGACTTGTCTATGAACAAGAACAGAGCTTAGTGCTCACAATCTTTAGTTCATTGTTCAGAAACTACAAAGTCAAGTGAATCAGTGATGTTAAATGTTAAAATATGTGAACATTCACGACATGTAGCACATTAATGGAAGAAAGTAACTTATCTTGTATGATATAGAAACTAATTACTTATGTTACTACAAGTCGTTGAGATTCCAATATAATGAATCTTTGTGATGTGTAGTCAACAACTAATCCAACAAGAATTATTCTTCTTTTCTCTTTTCACATGGTATCAAAGCCTCTAACATTTTGTTAAAACCTAAATAGAAAGAAGTTAGCCATTTGCTAATCAGAAGAAAGTGAAAGCACTTGTTGAATGACAAACATCCAACGAAAAGAACAACAAAGGACCCTAGAGATCTTCACACCATACAGTTGCTCACATTGTGCATTTCTCTAAACCAAATTATGATCTTTCATTTCTTTTTCTCTTACCTTAAAGGTGTGTTTGTTGGAAAATATTTTTCAATTTCTCCATGATTATAATAAAGTTTTGAAAACATATGCTTTAGGAAAACAGGTTCCTTAAAATTTATAATAAAGAAGACTTCCCCAGTAGAAGTAGAAAAACAAGTTCCATATAAAGCATTCTACAGTGATCGTCTCCTCCCCAACCTCCAACACATCCCACCCCTATTTCCAACCCACTTCTCCCATCCCACCCCCATAGCCCTCATCCCCATCCCCACCAACCCCACCCCATCTTTATAGTATTTATCTAGATTATATACACATGTTTTTGAGGATAACATTTTTGTTACACACCAAACACAAGAAAGTAAGTATTCTATTCCAAAACAAAATTCAGAACAAACCACAACAAGTTACAGATTCCTAATTACAATTGTGGAGAGTACTAGAAAGATCTTTAATCCTATAGAAAAATTTACAAGGAACCTAAAAGTAAGTAAGAAAATCACTTATTTCTTAGGAAAGCATTTCCCTTCATGCCAAACACACCATAATCATTGTTTTATCCCTACAAAAAGCAACCATAGCATAAGCACATGGACATATTCATACATTGCGAGAAACACCACAAAGAACCCACTAAAACAAACCTGAGGGTGGTTTCAATATAACTAAGCTCTGCAGGAATTAGTAATTTTTTACATTATGACTTAAGCAAACACATCATACTAAAAGATGGCTGCATGACATTCGTATAATCAGGGACTTTAGATTTGTCAATCAATCTTCAATACCAATCCCAAATTAGTTACAGTCATTATGAATCCCCTATTCATTCAGAAACTTTGGATTCTTGAACTTTACACCAACTCTCTCGCCAGAAGACATACTTTTCTCTTCTTTTTGGGAAGTTGTCTCTCACCGGAAGACATACCATCTATCCTTCCCTGCTTACCCTCAAGAAACCAAAAATTAGTAAGGCCTAAAAATCGCTGTATCTAAGCAAGGGATTATCAACTCAAACGCCTCTTAGGTTTTTTATGAGTTGGCAAATAACTTAATTTCCTCTCTATCTCTTTCTTCTTCATTTCTCTTCCACATTTCTGGTATCAGGAGCTTCTCTTGTTACAATTATCAACTAAAAACGCCTCTTTATGCGTACATAGAGATGATACTAGAACTCCTTTTTTATCCTGTTATTTTAGAGGATCGATCCAATATTTCAGTAGCTAGCAAGCTAAAAGATAAGTTATGCACACCACAGTTCAGCACAAGCTAAACGTACATATGTGTAGTATACAGATACACGTATAAACACACACACACACACGCACACACATTCACTGTCTTATAATCCTCGATTAGCTTCTGTTGTTACAATCATCAACTAAAAACGTCTCTCATGTGTAGAACTCCTTTTATCCTGTTATGGTTTAGATGATCAATCCAATATTCCAGTAGCTGGCAAGCTAAAAGATAAGTTATGATCACCAAAGTTAGAGAGGCAAGCTAAACATACACATATGTAGTATATAGATACATGTACAAACACATTTATACATAATGTGTACACGCATTCACTGCCTATAAATCCTCGATTAGCTTCTGTTGTTACAATCATCAACTAAAAACGTCTCTTATGTGTAGAACTCCTTTTATCCTGTTCTAGTTTAGATGATCAATCCAATATTTCAGTAGCTGGCAAGCTAAAAGATAAGTTTTGATCACCACAGTTTCAGAGGCAAGCTAAACGTACACATATGTAGTATGTAGATACATGTATAAACACATTTATACATAATGTGCGCACGCATTCACTGCCTATTAATCCTCGGTTAGCTTGTGTTCATCAGGTAACCAAAATGAAGTTCAGAATTCAGGAAGAGTAGGGTTTTGAGATTTTTAGAGAATTTTACCTGCCCATAGCTGAGCATCTAGCTCCTTCTGCTCGAGTTGCTTTTTCCGGAATTCATCATATGCAGTACGGCGGCGGAGGACATTTTCCGACTCGCTCGTCATCGGAATATTCTCAATCACCTATCTAAATTCAAATGACTTGCAGAAAACGAAACAGAAATAGTGTGATCTTCTACTCTTTTCTTTCTACAAAATGAAAAAAGTGGAGGTAGCAATTGAGTGGGCTTAAGCTAAATTGTGACTTTGCTCAAAGCCCAAGGATATCAATAAGACTTTGAAACATGAAGAACATATCATATCCAAATTTTGAGATTCTTTAAAGGAATTTTGAGTTGATTGAGAGGAAAAAAAGTTGTATATTTTATTGTATCAACAATGTATAAAAATGTAGTATATCATTTATATACGATTATACATTATCTATATAACGGAATAGGATCAAAACTACTCTTAAACTATCCGAAATAACTTATATGTATCCTTAAACTATATTTTGGCTAAAAAAACCATTTCCATCAAACTATTGGGACACATCTACCCTTTTAGTTAACGAAAGTATCCATGTGTGCGTTAAATGTCACATGAACGCCACATGTGCACGCCAAACAGACCCCACCTCCACGTGTATAGACGACTTAAATCTCTAATTTCACTCTTTTTCCCTCATTTCAATTATTCGGTTTTGATTTTTTTAAATAATGCTCACCGAATACCATACTAAACAACTTTTGTTTGGTTCATACACCATGACACCGAATATATCACGTAAGTTTATCCATGACCAGTAAAAAATGAAATCATCTAAAACCCGGTCCCTAATGCAACCCAATTATGGCCAAACAAAAATCTATAGATAAATATTCTATAACTACTCCCATAATCTATGATTGAACGTTAGCTAAACGTTTGAACTTTCCCCAATTTTGAATGAAAACCCTAACCTTCAATTTCATTTTTTTTTCTATTAGATCTTCTGTTGTGGGCTTCTTCAATTCCATTTGTATCTCTTTTTTTCGGTGGGTGAGTTTTGTTGATTTGAAGACGGATAAGTGAGTTGGTGGCCCTCACTATTTATGGAATTGCATGAATTTGAAATGTATTGATATTTTAGTGATTTAGAATTGTAGTACAAAATTGGATTCAGCAAGAAAAAATATGAAAGAAGGAACCAATAATCTTTTTAGCAGTTATAGATTATATAGATAATTGTTTGAGGAATGGGGAGCTCAGAATCAGAAGGGGGAATATTGAAATGCGATAACAGAAGTATTGTCTCTAAAGGAAAAGTGAAATGAGGGGGAAAAGAGTGAAATTATGGATTTAATTTGTCGATGTGGTAGTGGAGTGTGTTTGGCGTGCACATGTGGCCTCCATGTGATATTTAACACACACATGAAGAGAGATGAGCGAAATAGGAGAGAGGGAAGCGAAAGAGTCAAATAATGCATTTAGAATAAATTAGATTATATATATTCGAACTACATGTATATAGATATATTTGGACGCACCAAATACATATATGTGAAGTCCAAAATCTGGTAAATTTGTAATATTGCAAACTAAATATTAGGGTAATAATTAAATAAACTATTGTTGAGGAAAATAATAAATATAATATAAAATCTTTTAATGATCGATAAAAAATTCGATCAACATATTTAAGAACCTTCATGTTTTTTGATCAAAACAATGTCTAAAAATAGGTTATAACTTCTAAACAAAATTTGATCAAAACAATGTCTAAAAATAGGTTATAACTTCTAAAAAAGGTAAGTAAAAAAACGAAGAGTAGAGAGAAAACAACGCTAGATAACCATGTTAACCACTAAAACATGTAACAAAATAAGGCAACTAACATTAACAGAAATTCAAAAAAAATAAACTTGGCATATTTTTTTCACCCCAAAAACATGGCCAAAACTACACACAATTGAAATCTCTCACATTCATTTTTTTTTTCTCTTCTTCTTTCTTTTTATCTTTTAAGGTTTGGGGAAAAATTATCAAAGGGTCTAAAAATGAAAACAAAACATAAATTAACACCCCGACCCTTTACCCCTACCCCTAGCCCTACCCATATTATGGGTATTTTATTGATATGTTTCATTTTTTCTATCACAAATTCATTTGTCATTGCTCAAGATGATGCTGTACCTGCAAAATCTTTTCCTGTATTCACTCCAGAAGATAATTTCCTCATCGATTGTGGTGCTACTTCATCGATCACACTTCCCGGGAATAAGGCTTTTCAACCTGATCAAAATACCGCGAAATATCTTTCTTATACTGGTAAAGATATACAAGCATGTGCATCAGACAAAATCAACGTTCCTTCAACGTTATATGTTAACGCGAAAATCTTCACAACTGAAGCTATTTACACGTTTCATGCTAGTACTTCAGGGTTGCATTGGATCAGACTACATTTCTTTCCATTTAAATACGAAGAATATGATCTTAAAACAGCTAAATTTTCTGTTAAAACAGATAATTTGGTACTTTTACGTGATTTTCAAATTGGTAAAGACGAGGCTACTGTCAAGGAGTTTGTTGTTAACGTTACCTCAGAGCGTTTTGCTATTAAATTTGAGCCAGCTCAAGGATCTGTAGCGTTTGTTAATGCTATTGAGTTTGTTACTGTGCCTGCTAAAATGCTTGATTATTCTGTTCCAGTTCTATTCCCCGTTTCACAGAGATTTGATCTTTCTAAAACTAATTTCCAGACGATGTATAGGCTTAATGTCGGCGGTCCTGCTTTGGATTCAACGAACGATACTCTTGGAAGAAATTGGATGTCTGATAATCCATTTCGAAACAATGCTACTGGTGCAGAGGTATCAACACAAGCCTCTGCTATTAATTATTTGAAATCATCAGGAGGTTCTCCGTTGATTGCGCCACCAACAGTTTATAGTTCTGCTGTAAAAATGGCGGATTCAGAAACTACGATTGCTAATTTTAACATATCATGGAGTATGGATATCGACACTGTCTATCCTCACTTGATTCGTTTACATTTCTGTGATATTATTAGCAAAGCTCTTAATGAGCTCTATTTCAATGTGTATATCAATGACAAGATGGCTATTTCTGGGCTAGATTTGTCATCATTGACAAATCATTTGTCTACAGCTTTTTACAAGGATTTTGTTGTGGATTCTTCCATGGTGTCCAACCCACTCGTTGTACGTGTTTCTCCTGTGAATGATGTTCAAGGTTTTAGAAATGCGATTCTAAATGGCCTTGAGGTTTTTCGGATGAATAACTCTGTTGGTAGCTTGGATGGGGAATATGGCGTTGATGGACAAAAACAAAGTGGTCCAAGTAAAACAGTGGCTTATGTTGGATTCGCGATGATGTTTGGAGCGTTTGTGGGGTTGGGTGCAATGGCGGTTAAATGGCAGAAGAGACCACAAGATTGGCAAAAGAGGAATAGTTTTTCGTCTTGGTTACTTCCTGTTCATGCTGGTGATTCAACATTCATGTCATCATCTTCGCGAAGCAAGAGCCAATTCTTCTCATCAAAGAACATGGGATTAGGTCAGTACTTTAGTTTTGCTGAATTGTCAGACGCCACGAGGAACTGGGAACCTAGTGAAATAATCGGTGTTGGTGGCTTTGGAAATGTATACTATGGAGAACTTGATGATGGTACAAAAGTTGCTGTCAAGAGAGGAAATCCACAATCAGAGCAAGGTATAAATGAATTCCAGACAGAAATACAGATGCTATCTAAGTTGAGGCATCGACATTTAGTGTCGTTGATTGGGTATTGTGATGAAAGTGCTGAGATGATATTGGTTTATGAATTTATGCAAAATGGTCCATTGAGAGATCATCTCTATGGAAAGAACATGCCGCCTTTATCATGGAAGCAACGATTAGATATCTGTATTGGTGCTGCTCGCGGACTTCATTACCTCCACACGGGTGCATCTACTGGGATCATACATAGAGATGTCAAAACCACCAACATTTTGCTTGATGAGAACTTTGTCGCAAAGATGGCTGATTTTGGTCTATCTAAAGATGGACCGACAACAGAACAGACTCATGTGAGCACTGCTGTGAAGGGAAGTTTTGGCTACTTAGATCCTGAATACTTTAGGAAGCAACAGTTGACAGACAAATCTGATGTCTACTCATTTGGGGTTGTGCTTCTTGAAGCCTTATGTGCTCGTCCTGCTATTAATCCATCATTACCAAGAGAGCAAGTGAATTTGGCAGAATGGGCAATGCAGTGGAAAAGAAAAGGGTTATTGGACAAGATAATTGATCCAACACTTGTAGGACATATAGATCCAGAATCAATGAAGAAATTCGCCGAAGCAACAGAGAAATGTTTGGCTGAATATGGTGTTGACAGACCTACAATGGGTGACGTTTTATGGAATTTGGAGTACGCGTTGCAGATGCAAGAAGCCTCGTTACAAGGAAAGACGGAATACATCGATAACAAAGCAATTGTTGCACCAATTTCTCCTTCTACAGTTGCCCATGCTAATGTTTCAAATGAGAACAAACATATTTCTTCACCACAACAACATACAAATCCTACTGAAGTTCAACCCATCGATGACAAGTCAGGGACTTTTGCTCAATTTGAGCCTATCAATGGACGATAAAACAAACACTCAGCTTGTTTGATAGACAAATCAACAATCTACAATTGAAGGTTATGAAATACATAGGTATGTAGTAAAATTCAGCTTTATATGGATGCCATTTTGCTGAAAATTGTAATTGAGAACAATGTAATGTTTCACATAATATACTACTTTACAACATTATTTTTCTTCTCTTAAATTTATTGGCATCTCTTTGTATCCTTTAATTTCTCTCTTTGTTGATGGATAAAATAACTCAATAGGATGATCTATCAAGTAGTACTTCTTAAGTTTTTGTATCATATTTTTATAGCAATTTGCCACAAAAACTCTTTGCGAAGTAATTTATCAAACTAACCATTAGTCTGAAGAACCAGAAAAAAAAATAGTGCAGCAACTAGCAACGATCTTATCCACCAACACCTGCCGTATTTCTACATCAAGTATATGAGAAATCTAATAGAAAAACAAAAGCAAAACATTAGTCTTAAAGGTGTAGCCCACATAGGGAGGTGCAAGAGAATGATGTTTGTGGCAACCATCCTGCCGTTGTCGGGATAGTTAGTAAAGGAAGCTGTGCTGGAATCCTCCTTTATAAACCCCTGCAAGATAGTAATTAGGGAAGTCAATATTACAACAAAAGCAAATTTGAATAAGCAGGAAATTGACAATAAAAGAAGAGCGACGAAAGGTTGTTCAAAAGAAAAGAAGAGGTGTGAAGAAAGCTTACAAAATGAAAATACAATTAATCCCACAGAACTACAACAGGTTCCAGTCCCAAAAAAAAGTGCTTCAATAACGAAGATAAAATAGCAGGAAACAAAATTTCGAGCAATTATCCTGCTATACAGGCTTTCCATTTGGAAGAAAAATTCAGACCTCAAAAAATGATTTTTCGTGATGTTTGTTTGTTTGATGATTGATCATGTAATTGTCAGATTTTCATTCAACATTCATCATAAGCATCTGGAGGATGCAGCTGAGTTGAAAAAGAGAAGTAAGCTCCTGTAAATGACTTGGCCTCCTAATCCCAAAATCAAGGGAGTTGACAAAATCTAAAAATATAAGGGAATTATTGACATCACTAAGATTACACCAAGCATAAAGGTTTTACTAAGCATCTCTATGTTAAATCATAAAGTGGAGTTGTGTTTCCATCAGAACACCTCAGATTCTTCTCCTTCGAAATACTCCATATTACGCACTATGAAATCACCCTCCATAAAATATTTTTGATGGTTTTCTCAACTCACTAGCTACCCCATGACCAAGCAAATGACTTTCCATGGCTCGAAATAAAATTTTGCAATTCAATGTGTAAATTTCATCTGCAAATGGTAATCATCTTGAATGCAGTCACTTGGGCAAGTGCGAAAGGTGGATGGAGTAGGCAACAGATACAAAGCTCCATACGCAGTTACGCGCACATCACAAAACTTGAGAGAAGGGAAAGCAAGCAACACCAAAGGGATTGCAATGGATACAAGATCCTATTTTCAAGTGGAGACTAAGAACACCTACCCTCCTTGTGAATGGGAACTTGGGAAGTGAAAAGCCTTCACCCGTTGAAAGCTTCACAATATTCCCTCTAAATCCTTGCTATAAATTGCTACTCCCTCCCCGTCACATTTTATGTGGCAACATTTGACAAGGCACGGAGTTTAAGAAATAATGAAGACTTTGAAATGTTTACTAAATTGCGCTTTAAAAAGTAAACTCACTTTTCT